CTAAGCTCTTGTAATTTATTCGTTCACAAATCAGGTGTTATCTATATTCTCGTGTTTCTCTCGGGATTTCATTATGTAATAAGATCAGGTAATGTACTTGTTGAGTTGAGTCACAGAAAATGAAAACAGAACTTGTCGAGTAAGCAAAGGTAAGACCAATTTTTGATATATGAATACATAACATATTAATAATATAAACAAATATTGAGAAAGATAAAAAAGTTTTCATAAAAGAACGGAACACTTTATTTTTATATATAATAAATTTCATGGTAAATAGATGATCAGGCTCTTTTTAATATGATTAAAATATACGATTTTTTCAAAGGAAAGTACTAAATGAATAAATATTAGTAATACATGTAGATATACCGTCATGTAAGTTGGGTTTTTTATGATGGCTGATTTTAAAAACTCTTAGAATTTCATTCATGTTTGGAAGAATTTTCTTGCGGTGTATTCTTAATAGCATCATCCGTTATTCATATGTTTGATAAGACTGCATGTAAGCACGCGGTCTAGAATGGAAATGCAAGTCGTATTCTTGCGAAGAACAGGCGAGTACTGGTATACAAAATCCAAATTGTAATGTAAAAAAATGGAAATAAATAGAGAAATAAAAACGGTCTTATACTTAAGATGAACTATACTCTCACTTAATAAAAGTAATATTTTGGGAAAGAAAGATGCAGAAGTTGACTTTGATTCGATATGCACCAATCGTCATATATATCCAATAATGCAGAATTGTTAAAATAATGTAGGATTGTGCAAAATCAAACATAGCTGTGGAAATAAATGCCGAAAACAAGTATCTTATGAAGCTATATACGAGGTATAGTAAAAAAGTTCCCGGTCTCTCACGATAACTTTGTTATTTTGTGTATGATTTTATAATGACATGTATTGCATTAAAATTTAGAGAAATCGCTGCATAAATATATAAGAGTCAATGATTTTCATAAGTGTTACACATATTTAACACCCCGTTAAAGTTACACATTTTGTCACGTACGGAGCAATTTGGCGACGTAGACGACGCTAACGACGTTCTGGTGACGTTCATATTCCAGAAACAACTTACCGTCACGTTCATACTTTTTCAAAATAGTCCCCATTGTGTTCAATACACTTCCTGTGCCGCTGAACCTACTTCGGTAAATGTCTGCATACCACCCTGGAGTGTAACTTCTTATTGCGGACCTCACAGCATATTTGATCTCATCTTCTGTATAAAACCTCCGACCCCTCAAATCTTCTGTCAGTCTAAGAAAAACACAAAAGTCTAAGGGGGCGAGATCGGGGCTATAAGGGGGATGGCGTCCTTCTCATCTTGGATTGAGCGCTGATCGTTACCCGGTCTTCCGCTTCGTGCACTATCGGTAATTTCCGTCTGACCTTCCCTAAAACGCTTGTGCCAGTCAAACACAAGTGTCCTAGAACAATTATGAACACCCTCCTTCTGATTCAAAAACTTCCAGGTATCAGTCGGAGTCATTCCAGACATCGCACAGAATTTTATTACTGCCCGCTGCTCCGTACGTTTTTCTGAGGTTGACATTTTTTCGTATAGAAATTTTCACGTGGCTTGAATAATCGTGCACAAAATGGCGATACGTCATCCGATCACGCTGAATTTTTGCAGTTGTTTACTAGTAACGTTCAGCTGACGTCACGTACAAAATCACGACGTTCTGGCTCCAGTATTTTGAGACATTCATGAAAGAGTATTATTTACTTCTAGAAAGATCAAATTAATTCTGAAATGCTCCGTACACGGGTTGAGGGCGTGTTTCATGTGAAAAATAATTTCCAAATATTTACTAAATTGATTTTTTTTTCAATCATGTTGCTACTCAAATTAGTTAAAAATACCTTCATGGTAAATTTCATGACAATCGGACGTCAATAATCTTTTTAAACAGACTAGTCCGGGAACTTTTTGACTATACCTCGTACTTCGGCAAATGTGCAAGGTATACCGAAAATTAATCTTTAAAGGAAGGCTAAATGTGCGTTATTGTCCTCATTAATATCGGCGAAACACAAACTTCAACGCCAGAACAATAGCCACTTTTACAATCAATTGGATTGGCATAATATCACTTTAAAAAATAAAGGATTTACCACCGGGCACCTGTTTATTATTTGCATAAAAAGTAATTCACATAGGTGCCCAGTGTATATATAGAGAAATTATTGTGTAACATAAGTCACGTGTAGTTTTATCAAGGTCAAATAAAAGTTGAAAATACCGAGAATGATTAAGGTATAGTATAGTATTAAGCTTTCTCCATCGTGTTAAAGAGGGTCGAATTAATTCGATCTATCAATAATACATTGCATACCATAAGAGTTGTTTGTTGTTCTTCTCTTGGCCTCCTCGAAAACTGTAATAAATGTTGACGTGTTGAATGGCGTCGATTACTCTATATTGTCTGTATGCATATTTAATCAAGACTTTATTGTATCATCAACTTGATGGGATATTTCAATATCTTCTCCAATTTTTAGCAGGAAATCACTAATTTATCTTACAAAATGTCGCCAATCACCGCTCACGCGATCAAATAAAGTGTTGCCATAGGAACGCTTGCGACGCGAACGGGACAACGGAATTTTCGTTGATTTACAGCGACGGGATTTTTGGTGAATTTGAGAGAAAAGATTTCCTTTAAAAATTGAGAAAGTTCATCTCTTTTCTAAGAAGTGGAATGGAAGTATTCATAAAAGGATATTTAAACGTCGCAGTGGCATTTTAGAGAATTTTTGTGTGAAAATAAGGAATAGAAAAAGTGAGCTTTTAAATTCATTATTTTAAATATTTTTTTTGAAATTTAAAAATCAAGCCAAGTGATATGAGCAGAAGTAGAATCTATATATTGTTATTTTCAATGTTAACGTGGTCACAAGAGAAAAAAATGCGAAAGAATTCTCTTAGATCACAGCAAATACACTTTTAAACATGCGCTACATTTACAGAATTTTATGCCACTGTAATTTCAAGAGATTTTATAAAGATTATATTAATCTACGTTATTTTTCATAATAAATGATCTTAAAAGATCAGCCAGTCTTCAATAACATGATGTTTCCATTTAACTTTTTTTAAGTCAAGAAAATATCAATAAATAAAAATGTATGACTGTATAAATTTTGTTTAATTTGAACTGTTACTGATATTCTATGAATAAATAAATAAATAAATAAATGAATAAATGAATAAAAAAATAGATAAATAAAAAAAAAAAATAAATAAATAAATAAATAAATAAATTGATAAATAAATGAATAAATAAATAAATTAATTAATTAATATTGAATAAAAAATAAATAAATAAATAAAGAATAAAATATGAAACGATGCTTGAGGTCTTAAATAAACGCTCATATCTGGAAAAAAGAAAGCATGAAAAAAGTAAAAAAAATAGCAAGCGTGCTTTTTCGTTATTACACATTTCACATTGTAATACATGTAAATTTTGAGGACCGCGAAAAATAAATAATATATAAACATTTGTATAACACAACAGATCCTTTGTATTCATTTTCCAGGACCATAACAATTTGATATAATAATTATAATATTCATTAGAACGAATTTAAGGACAAATACCTGTGAGAATAATATCATTTTTGAAACTAATATTTATGGGTGCCACGGTTAGAAAAAAAAGATATCAGTTTAAACAGCTACCTAATAACCGTGATAAACGTTTTATCGACCGTACACTTTTGCTAACACAATCCTTAGATTTTTAATATTAACTTGTTTCTTTATGACAAAATATGACATTTTGTTCTTATTTTGTTGTACTCAAAATGATTTTAATACATATCCGATATATACATGTAGTAACCTTGTTTTCCTTTAGCGTCGTGCCGTGCTCGATCAGATTGGGAAAAAAATACATTGTTGAGTAAAACTAGAATACAAAAATAAATGTCTTATCTTGTTATAAAACACTAAAGGTTATATTTAGAATCAATTTAAAACTTTTTCGCCTCTTTGTAAAAAACTTACCTCGGTTATCGGTTATTGAATTTTCTAACAGGGTTTAAACCGACCGTACCCGTTTAAACGGATAAACGTGACACCCCTACATATTTAACTGTATGTATATTAATTAACTATTTGCAGTGGTATCACGCACCGCCTTATCTTTATGAATATTTATGATTTATTTTAAATCAAATACAAATATTTTTCAGCAATTGGAAATACATTCTAGATTTGCGAACATATTTTTCTTTTTGCGTATCTATTTAATGCATAACATGAAACAATTAATGTAAAGAAAGTAAAGTACTTTTTAAGCTAAATTCATTAATAACCGGGACTTATGCACGGCAAAATGTTTGCGTTTTGCCGTATAAAAATGTTAGTTTCAAGGCCATAATGCTTAAAAGTATATAAGTTTTTACAGCCTGATATTGACATTGCCTTGTTAAAAGAGAGGAGGGCGAGAGGGAAGGGGGCAGAAGTCTGGGGTATGTAGATTGGAGGGGGAGGGGGTCGTTGTTGATTGATGAGGCACAATAATTAACACTAAGTATCCTTATGTTAACCTAGTCGTGTAAACTTAAACTCAAAATTTTTAAGCTGAATATTTATTTCATTAAAATCTGTATTTCTTAACAGTGCGTTTTTCATGCAGATTATTGAATATTATATTTTCATGCGCAAGTCCTTTTGCACCAACGCCCTATACTTGACCTAGCTTTACACATATTGCGGGGCTATAGTCGGGTATTTTACATGTTACTGTTTCCCGCAAAACAAGGATTTTACAATGGCTTTGCAAGTATCTTAGTATAATTCATCGCATTTCTCCTAAGAATCGAAGTAGCTACTGACAGGTGCTTAATACATTTCCATTGACGCAATTCAACTGAAGGAACTTTCTAGGTTATTTCATCAATAGAGAACCAATTTACAACATACAGTTACATATGTATGTATATGTATAATGAAATTCATTATTCACATATAATTTCCCTGTTATATTACATGTAGTCGGAACAGTATTTTGCTATTACATTAACAGTTTAGAAACCTGATAATAACATTCTATAGAAACTTTTCCACGCATTTAAACGTTTTATTGAAATGAAGGACGCAATGATTTTATGATCTTGTTTGCATTTCGTACAGAAATAGTTGCAAAAATATATAGGATTTACACCATGTGCCGTAGTATTAAATCCTTGCTCGCCGAAATTTATATACTGAGTGCATGTTGGCGAAGTGTTTTAACAATTTGTCCGAAGATACCCGAATATCCGTATTCTGTTTACTTGGACAAATCGCATCATTTTGAGTTTTCCTGGCGGGTAGATTATGCAAAAGAACTTGTGCACTTCCGGGTATGTTTGGACTCACATCCGGCCTCAGTGTTTGGTGTTGGATTTTCAAACTATGGAGAGATGGAAAATTCAGACTTTGTGATATACTGGACAAGCGAATCTGGAGTACATCATTTTCAGGTATGTACTTATAAAATATTTATTTTGAAAATTAAGAAAATGCCACACCCGAAGCCTAGACAAGCATCTTTGTTTTATTTTCTATTGAGACTGAAATAAACTTTTAAATCATATGCGATTTGACAGCCGTAATAAGAACGTAGTATAAAATAGTACAAACAGTAATAAACTGAAAGGACATTTTTCAAACAAAAACGAGATTAGGGTTTTTCATTGGTTTTAATACCTTTAATAACTTGATTTCTTCTTATCTGTATTGAAAGTTTCTGTCCCGTTCTCCCCATGTCACGCTGTCCCGCTGTCACACTGTCCCGCTGTCAAACTGTCACGTTATCCTGTTGTCCCCCTGTCACGCTGTGACACTGTCCCGCAATCACGTTGTCCCACTGTCACGTTGTCCCACTGTCACGTTGTCCCACTGTCACGTTGTGTCCCACTGTCACGTTGTTCCCCTGTCACACTGTCGCACTGTCCGGTTGTCCCCTTGTCACGTTGTCCTGCTGTTCCGCTGTTCGTCCGTAGATTATCATAACAAGGGAATGATGGGGGAGGGAGGGAATTCATTTCTAATTACATCATGGAAAGTAGGTACAGAAAACAATTCATCAGACTTTGTATGTTTGATTATATATAGAATAATTTAGTGATATAATATAGCGTCTAAGACGGCAATCTCATCTCCTATTAATTATTATATTGTGTTAATAAAATCTTTTTAACATAAATTCGGAATACTCAAACAGTGAAAATATTTAAAATATTTTTCAGGACATGTATACAGATCGTGAAGGCATCCCTCATGTTGACAAGAAACAAGACTACAAGCTTGAACACATACAGACACAAGGACAGCACGTTATTCTCGTGTTCAATCGGAAGTTTGACACGTGTGATAAGCATGACTATATATTTGATGTAAGTACATGTAGTTGAATAGCTGCACGCCATTCTTTTCATTCCTAAAGGAGCATGCCTCCAGATTTATGCACCTTGAAATTATGAAAATGTATTTAGATATAAAATATTGTCAAGTGAATAACGAAAGTAACTTTAACATTGCGAACGACATTTAAAATATTTGACTTTTACCAGAATAGATCAGAATATGCAAAACAAGCCCTTATTGCGTTAGTCACTCAGTAGTAATATGATACAAATAGATACCTGAAAACCGGTCTTTGATTGCTTATAACAGGCAGATTATTTCTTGAATCATTGTCAATATTTTTTTTTATATTTTTTTTTAATTCTTAGTATATTTTTCTCTAAGTTAACTATCTTCAAATATAATGTTGCTCATCTTGACGCATGTAGCTTTAAAGACCTTTCAACATTTCATTGTTTACTTATATGCTTACATTGTAATTATAATATTTGACATAGGTCATTTTGTACGAGAACTGATTTTGTGCATCGGTGATTTGTCGTATTTACGTACTTTCGTTTCTTGTTAACATAATGATAAAGTCACATTTTCTTTTAGTTTAAGATTCACATATAGTATAAATTAGCTGCCATCATTTGTTCTAGATACAAGTAGAACAAGAAAATAGTTTAATGGCATAAAAACGCCACCGTAGTATGTTCACTAAAATGTTCTGAAAATTGCAGGAATATGCCACCAAAGCATGTTTTAAATGCACTTTTATAAAATATGATTTGTAAGTGGCATAAAACATCCAGCATTTTGTGCAAAAGATATTTATGTGTTTCTGCATGTAACCCTTTTTGGCCAAAATGCACGAAAATCTGTAAGTTACATTACTGAGTTGGAAAAGTGTATTATAGATACATGAAACAATATGCACCAAACCAGTAATAAATATATACCACCTGAGAATAAAAATCACCCTGCAAATAAAGGCCACTCGTCGACAACCCTTCATTGATTAGATAGAACTTCCAAATAAAGACCACTTGCATATAAAGGTCATGTTTGGTCACTCCTTTTGATGGCCTTTTAATTTGTAAATTACATAAATCAGCTACTTTAGCATGTTCTGGAAACTAGGGAAAAACAACAACAAAATACAATCTGTAAATGGCATAAACCATTCACCATAGAAATGCCTAAAGATAATATGTTTCTTGTCTAGTCTCTTAAAAGAAAAGAAGTGAGTGTTCCCTGTGAAATTCTTAATTTGATCTTTGTGGAAATGACATCAATTGCTTCTCCATATAAGGATTAAAAGAACTGACGCGGATCAATCAAGGTCAGTTTTTATTGAACTGAAATGAAGTTGATCTAAACTAGTATGAGTGGGATTGGAAAAAAAGATATACATGGCTTATCAATCCTAATTAATATACAAAGGGGGCAAAAATAACCCAAAAAACCCCAAAAGAAAACCGATGCCTTTGTTTTAAAGTTTGGTCAAACCCGTCAAAAATTTTAATTTGGGCATTTCCCCGGTTAGAAAGGGTAAATTTCCCCCAAAAAAAATACCCCAACCAACTCAACAGTGGCTTGGATAGACGAACGGTAGGTAAAACACTCGGTTCATTACCTCCGTATTCTGATAATTATAGCACCACTACACCCATATTCTTATAATAATACCCGTCCCCATATTCTGATGATGATAATAATAACAATGATGATATTATTTTTTATGGTACGAGACAAGACAATACACGTATTTTTAAAACAGCACCCTATATTTATTTACATCTTTTATTCGTTTGCGTGGACTAAAAAAGTTTAGATTACATTGCAAAGTTTAGATTTCACTTTGATCACTCCTTTGTAGAGTATCAAAGTGTCATGTCTATAATGCCTTATCTTTTCAGAGAGGGACAACTCACGTGCTGTATTTCTCGTCAGATCAACCAATGAAATCGCTGACATCAGGTCACGTGAACATATCTGACCTATCATCTGGATTACAGAGAATCCAGCTATTGAAACCGGACATAAAACCTAATCCATTGCCGGAAGATACGTGGACCTTTGAAGTAACAGCCCCGAATGTATGCATCTTTTGATTTGTTCTCAAGTTTTCAAGTTTTATTGAATATATATCCCAGTTTACACAGTTAAAATATTCTTTATATTTTTATTCATATTGAAACGTTGTATGCATGTTTGTCAATGACATTTCATGTTAAATTTAGAATTGTAAATGGTCAGTTTAAATATAAAGTAATTAACAAAGTAGAATTAAGTAATGCTTAAATAATAATTTAACAAGTAAACAAGTAAAAACAAACCGCGCAGTCTGATCAGGATCCCTGCTGTTCGCTTACCAACCCTACTACAAGTAGAGAAACTGATAGCGAATAGCATGGATCCTGATCAGACTGCGCTGAGGTGCAGGCTGGTCTGGATCCATGCTGGTCGCAAACCCACTATTATGGTTTTGTCATGACGCGGCTCATTTATTTTAACATTTTCCCCTCGAGGCTTGAACCAACTCTGTATCCTCACTGAAAACGAAGTCTCTTCAGAAAGGAGGTTCTGTATAACGTTTAAATGACCAATAAATTAAATAAGGGGGAAGTTTATTTATACAGATAATATGTTGCTCTTGCACCAGTTTTTATCCAATGAATAATAATGAGTAAGTTTGCTGCCGCGCATGCGTCCATTATTGATGACAGGGCTTATCGAATATGTCTAATTAAAAAAAAAAGAATGAATAAACTATATATGGGTAGCTGCGTTCCCTATTACAGATCAAGTAAAGTTATTGTCTTTAAAATACTGCCAGTTTTTTTCTAATGACAGTATATATTCATGTTGTGACCACCTATAGTATGTAAACTTGAACATTCTACTTTGCGAGAAATTAATTTAAATTTACAAAGAGACAGTGTAGCAATTATCAATATTTTCTTATATCAAATTTGAGAATGATATAATTATATTAAAGTTAATATTGCATGATTTTCTCGTATTTCAGATTGAGGTACCTGCAACAGAGACGACATACTGGTGGTATGTAGCGACATTACCTCCCTTGACCAAGAAGCATCATATTATCAAGGTAAATATTTTTATAGCACTAGTACTAGTAAAAATAAATAAAACATACGATTTCATTATTAACAAATAAATATATGAGAGTTAACTGATAAATGCTAAGAAACAGCTGCTAATCAGTTCCAGAATTATCTCTTTTTTTGACATTTGGTTAGAACTAAAGAACTTAGTTAGGATGTTCTTTTCCAAAATTCTTACGGGCATTGGAATTCCTTTTTGGGTGTGTTAGTAGTAGCTTTCTTAATTCAGATCAATTGTTATAAGGTAAATAAGCATGGAAAAGAGAGGTTAACTTTTCAGTACATATTGGAAGTATTTGCAATATGGCTGAGGATGTTGTCTCCCTTTTCAAAATGTTTTAGTCTC